TCATGTTAATAGCTTTTTTGGAATTTGAAAATACTTGAAGAGGCTTCGGATTTTCCTGAACATTCGTAGGGATCATTTAGGAGTACTGAAACCTCTAAAGTGGTCACTAGAAATGCTTAGAAGTGTTCGAGGTACGTCCGGTTTGCGTTACCAAAAGTCGGAGTGGACAAACTTTTCCCTTAAGCAGGCACTCCAAGACAGAATTGCCCCCAAACTTTCTCCTTAAGGAGTCACTCTAAGGACCAAGCATTTTTGAGTCTAATCGTTTTACTAAAACGACTAATGACGTCATCTTTTTGTCATCCTGTCGAGGCCTCGAAACCTTCCCCGTAAGCAGTCCCTCCAATAACCGAGCATTTTTGAGTCTGATCTTTTTACTAAAGTAAATAGGGAAGTCACCCTTTGGCACCCCGTCGAGGCCTCCAAGGCTTCCTCTTAAGCGGCCACTTCCATACAGAGAGGCTTCAGAACCTCCCCTTAAGCAGTCCCTCCAAGGACCGAGCATTTCTTAGTCTGATCGTTCAACTAAAATGGTTAGTGACGTCACCTGTCTCTCCGGAAAACAATTTCGCGTGGGGCGAGCCCCTCCAATTTGCGTTCTCGTTCACACAAAAATTGAAGTCGCTTCGGTTCAGTTCATTCGATTTCTTCTCTTTTCAAAAAGAGACACGGCTTTTTTGTACCCAGGGACAAAAGAAAAACCAGGAAATCTGGGAGTTTTTCGGGAAATTACCTCGATTGTAGGTACGAAACGACGTTTTTTGGGTATTTCAATAGGTTCTGATTATCTTTAAATGGGAAAAAAATACCAGACAATTTTTTGGGCTGTTTTTTGAGCATTTTTTGTTTTCTGGATCAATTCTAAATTCGAAAAGCTTGAGGATTTTCGAAGAAATGAGGATTTTGAAGATTAAAAACTGATGAAGGACCACTACAAATAATGTTATCACATGGTTGACGTAAGGAAAAAATTTTTTTCTGAGATTCTTTAAAAAAATCATCATCATTTTTTTGGACTTTTTTTGTAAATAACTTTTGGCTTCAAAAAAATCCGAAAAAAATTAATTAAAAAAATTAATTTTTTTGAAGTAAGAGGAATTTGAACGTCTTGGTCGCACTTGGAATGGTTCAAAAACTTGAAAAAAAGCGATAGAAAGTTTTTTTAATCAAATTTATGTTAGCAAACTTGTTTCAGTGCGTTTTGATATCAAAACGCGCAAGCCGTTCCAAGTCGGGCGCAACTTGAAAAAAATGAGCGGTTAGTTAATAAAACCAGTTGGAAACATTTAAATTTTCTTTTTATGAGGTTTTAAAAATTTCATTCATTTTTTTCCTTTTATAAATCAAAAATTTGATAAAAAGTACATTGGAGCTTTACTTTTGAAATAGCACCATTTCTGGAAAAACGCATGTTTTTTGACCATGATCCCATAACTAATCGAATCACCTACGAAATAACTTTCCTTGTATCATATATATTTATAATCGTCGTCCAAATCGAATTCCACCCAAAAAGGTGTTTTCCACGGAGAATAATGTTGGCGAAATGAGAATCCAACAAGACGGATTGCTCATTTAGGCCAACGTCGGGTGAGAAGAAAAAAAGCTGCCTGGTAACCGGACCAACAATAAAAGACGTCTTCGGGGACAACGTCGTGAAAATTTCATGTTGCGGCTGTTTTTGAAGGCTCAAGTGAGCGCCAAGGAGAAAAAGATGAGAAAACAAGGGAATTTTTGAGATTCTGGTTTAAATTTTTGAGTTCTGTCTGCTCGAAAATCAACTTGAAAATTTCAGTAAAAGTTGCAAAAGTGACCACTTTAGAGGTTTTGGTTAGTGGCCACTCTAGGGGTCGTGCTGAAGAAGCCTAGAGGAACAAAAATGTCTGAAAAAAAAAAATGAAAAACTCCTTTAGGGACCACTCAAGCTCCAGGAACTTGAAGAAAGACCCTAACCTCTTCAGGGACCACTTAAATTTTTTTTTGTTGACTTTAAGGACTTTTCTTCTCTAACCACTCTAGTGACCACTCTGGCGTTCCAAATAAGACTTTTTCGAAAATTTTCAAAATCGCGGCTTTTTTTCGGTACAGCTAGTTAGCGCCACGGAGAAAAATGGTGAAAATCGAAAAATTGCCCGACAAAATCTTGAAAATTTTCCAAACTGATCGGAAAAGAAGTTCTGACCCCTTCAGGGACCACTTGAACTTCAGTTTGTCTATATAGGGACTTTTTGAACCCTGACCCCTCTAGGGACCACTCTAAATTTTCTAAGTAGGACTTTTTTGAAAATTTTTAAAATCTCAGCTTTTTTTAGAACAGCAAGTTAGCGCCATGGAGAAAAATGATATAATTTTAAAAAATTGCCCGGAAACATCTTGAAAATTTTGCAATTGATCGGAAAAGAATATCTAACCTCTTCAGGGACCATTTGAACTTCAGTTTGTCCACTATAGGGACTTTTTGAACCTTGACCCCTCTAGTGATCACTCTGGCGTTCTTAAGTAAGAATTTTTTGGAAAATTTTTGCAATCGAGGCTTTTTTTTAGAAAACAAGATAGCGCCATGGAGAAAAATAATATAATTTAAAGAAATTGCCCGGAAACATCTTGAAAATTTTCCAACTTGATCGGAAAAATTTTCTAACCCCTTTCAGGGACCACTCAAACTTCGGTTTGTCCACTATAGGGACTTTTTCAACCCTGACTCCTCTAGGGACCACTCTGAAGTTTCTGTAGAACTTTTTTCGAAATTTTTTAAAATCGCGGCTTTTTTTGAAACAGCAAGTTAGCGCCACGGAGAAAAATGGTGAAAATCGAAAAATTGGGAAAAAAATTTTTTTAATATTTCAAGAGATACAGACACCTTTGAAAAATTCGAAATTCCACCAAACTTCACAGTTTTTTCCCTCCCAAACAATTCAATAATGCACAAGGTGCTCAAAAAAGCCGTCCCATTGTCAGGTTTCTTCGGGAAAAAACTCAAAAATGCGAACATTTTTAGCTGCTCAAAGTTCACCTGGCCATGATTGACACCTTCTTTTCCGGCGATTATTGAGTTTTGGGGGGCAGAAAAAGAAACAATTGGGTCGGTTTGGTTTTCCGGCGGGGAAAGATCTTTGAAAATTGGAGATTTTTGAGGATTTCTAGAGATTTTTTAAGTTCCAGGGTAGATTTTCAAGCAATTTTCAGCCTTTAGAATATTATGACGTTTGAAGAAAGAATATCGACTCGAATAGACATCCGAAAATAACCCAAGTTTCACTTCCACGTGCTTTTTATTCTCTATTTTGCCACCTTTCTCACGATATTATCACACATTCTTGTGTGGAAAGCCTCCCACGAACTCGCGCAAATTCCAAATTATTTATCGCGGGAAAACGACTCTGGCCTTGATTTTTTTGAACCTTCCCGGTCGCTTGGTCGCACTTGGAATGGCTTGAAAATCGAAAAAATCAAGTTGATAGATAGCCCAGCGCGTAAGTCGTTTTATGTTGGGTGCAGGATCAAAGTGACCGAGACTCTTTGAACCGTTCTACCTGCGAATCGGTTTTTGAACCTTTTCGATCGCTTTTCCGCGCTTAGAATGGCTCAATAATCGAAAAATTCGAAATGATAAGTAGACTTCCGCGAAAGTCGTTTTAAGTCGGGTGCGGGATCAAAACAAGCGCGAATAGTTCATCCACTGGACTTTGTTTACATTTCATTCCGTTGAAACGCTAGATTATCAATGACCTGGACTGGGTCAAAAGAGAAACCTATAGCCTTGAGAGGTAGCCTTGCGCGAAAGCCGTTTTGGGTCGGGTGCAGGCTCAAAATATTCATTCATTTTATTTTTTAGGGTATTGAGGCACCAGACTTTTTGTAAACTTTATGGGTCGCTTGGTCACACGTGGAATGGCTCAAAAATCGAGTCGAATGCCTTGGAAGATAGCAAAGCGCGAAAGTCGTTTCGGGTCGGGTGCAGGCTCAAAAAACGGAGTTAGATCTCTTTTTCTATTGATAAACCATCAAAATGCGTTAGATCATTAACAAGCTTATAGAAGCAGGGTTTAGGAGTAAATATTCTTTTTTTAAAGCGAAAAAAATTTAAATTTCCAGACTTTTCTCAGGTATTCGACTTACCTGCAAGCTCAGAAAAATAATATTCCTCAAAATCATGTCCCAGTGCAAATCTGGATAAAATCCGGACTTTTCCCCTTGTTTTCCATCAAAAGTCTGGAAAATTCCCCGATTTACTGATCCTACGAAGAACCTTGCATTCTGACAAATCCTTGAGAGCTTATCTGCTCGATGGATAATCTCGAACAAGCTCCGCCCACTTTCTCTCCGCCCTCTCTAATATTCATATATAATACTTTGGTTGCAGCGTTCAGAACGAATTTTTTGAAGGTTTTTTGCTTTTTTTTTCTTTTCTCGAATCGGTTCAATGGGCCAATGGTCGTGTAGGGAATGACTTGGAAGTTTTTTGAGCCATTCCAAATGCGGCCTGGATTTGAATGAACTATGATAAGTTACCAAAAAGCTTCATAATTTTAAAATGAACCGTGTGTGTTTTTTTTGAGTAGAATTTTGGACCATTTTCGGACTTTTAAGCGGTCGCATTGGGAATGGCTTGAAACCAGTTGAGCCATTCCAAATGCGACCTGGGCTCATATTAACTACCAAAAATAATAATATCTAGCAAATCCCTTTTTTCTTTGAGTAGTAGCGTTTGGAATGGCTTGAAATACTGTGAGCCATTCCAAATGCGACCTGGACTCGTAAGAACTCTGTTTGGAAAAAGCTATAAATTTTTAAATGGACCAATTTTTTTCTCTTTCTCGATTTTTTCAAGTAAAATGTCTAGTTTGGATCATTTTTGGACCCAATCCGATATCCCAAATCTTCATTTTCGACTTTTTTTTGCCCTTTTTCCCGCCTTTTTTCGATTCTCCGTGCTCGTGTTCCATTATCCTCTCATCAAAGTTTAATTTATTGAATTTAAAATAATCAGACAGATCGATATGATGTCCCGTGGGTTGCTCGCCTGTTCGGCGCTGGTCCTGATCTCCTTCGTCGCCGCCCAGGAGTCCGACAGTCAGGCTCGAGGTATTTCTAAGAAAAAAGAGCCCAAAATCCAACCTCGAAACACTAGAAAACTCAAAAAAGCTCAAAGTTTCTCATTCCATGACTCAAATCCACCGTAATCCCGCTGTTTTCGTGTCGAGATTGGTTTCTGGAACGTTTTACGGCTTCTTTAGAACTAAGACTCTCATGAAGAGCTCCTCAACAGGATTTGTTTCTATGGAATCTTCTCAGCTACTTCCTCGTTCCGCACAAATTTGACATAAAACATTATTTTTTGATGATAATCCCATAGAAGTGGGTGGTAATGAAGAGTTAATCATGATTTCAGTTTAAATATAAGAGATTTAGCGTCAAAAAAAATGTGGATAACTTGCAAAAATGTCCAGTGGAAAGTGTTATAAAAATCTTATACTATGCCTGAAAAAAATTATTTTGGTATACTAGAATAACACACAAAAAAATCTACTCTGACGAAAATTATAGAAAAAACTGTTTTTTGAGTAAAAAAAACGGAAAAAAAGTAACCGTGCGGCACTTGCACATGAAGCCACGCCTCTTTTTCTATGCCTTGTCATCCTTTATGCCGTTCATTTTTATATTTTTCCAAGTTTTTTCGTTTTTCATTTCAATGCTATAATATGCTATAATACATTATAAAGCCCGAAGAAAAAAAAAAATCGAAAACCAATTTTCGGCGAAAAATAGAAAAAAAATATTTTATCGAGAAAAAACCGTGCGTCATTTGCTCACAAAGCCACGCCCCTTTCAAAAGCCTTCGCAAAATTTTTTTGCACTTTAGTTATATCTATTTCCGAATTTCTTTATGCATATTTTTTTCACCATTTAAATAAATTATAATCGTTTTGGAGAGCAAAAAAATCAAATACGAAGTTTTTTTGACAAAAAAACCGAAAAATACGGCATTTTTTTCATGAAGAAAGGGATAAAGATCACATGCGGCATTTGCGAAAGAAGCCACGCCATTTTTTTACTATGCCTTCGCAAAACGTTTTTGCAGTTCAAATCTATATATTTTATCAGCTTTTTTTCTTTTTTTTCACTGAATAATCTTTATTTTCCAGAAATGGAAAAGCGAAAGTCGGCCTACATGCGATTTGGACGTTCTGATGGGGGATTGTCGTATGAAAAACGCAAAAGCGCTTACATGAGGTTTGTGTTTCAGCGATTTAACATTAAAAAAAAATATCAACGTTTTTGCTCAATACGTGACGTGCTCAAAAAAAAATCCTGATGAGAGATTAAGTGACCACTAAAGGGATTTTAATCTACCGTGGCTCTTCACTTGAGATAAAATTCGAATTTCATAATCCTAGTGAAGGTTGGGAATTGCACAACTGTTTTTTCCTTAAGTGACCACTTGAGCTTTTCTTAGCTTCGAAAAATTGCAAAGTTATCTAAAATGTGCCTAGGAAGCATTGCTAGAGATTTTAAAGGCGCAGAAGCATTTTTAACACATTTTCGCTTCAAGACCTTTTTGGAACTTGGCTGTGCTCCTTTAAAAATTTTTTCAAAATTTGCAAACTTTGAGTAAAAAAAAGCAAAAAAATGAAGTTTCAGGCTCTAATTAAAACTTCTAGGTTCGGCAAGAGGTCAGCCTTCGAGGAAGACCCGTTCGAAGAGCCGCAGGAGGTCGCCGGTGACGTCAGCAAGCGGAAGAGCGCCTACATGAGATTCGGAAAGCGGTCTACCGAGCCTGTAGATGATCAGGACCTCGCCGCCGTCAAGCGCAAGTCCGCCTACATGCGGTTCGTTTACAACATTAAAATTATTTTTTTATCCTAAAAAAATCAAAAAAATTTCAAATTTTGAAATTTAAGGATTTCCACCGCATAAAAGTCGTCATCTCTTTATAAAAATCCTCCAAAAAAATTCCAATTTTGCTTATAATTTCAAACGAATAGCGATTTCATGGCTATATAAGCATGTTAAAAAAATCATCCGTTTTATCTCGAAAACATCAAAAATTCAAATAGAAGCAGGAAAGTGTTGTATAAATTTATTAAATGTCATCAATTTCATTTTTTCCCACTTTCCTATTTCAGAAATTTAATAAATTCATTATTTTCAGAACATGAATATTAAAATTTTGGGGTCAGCTCGTTTTTTTTTCGGTACATAGCCTTCATATCTCTAAATTATAGTTGAAAAATTCCAATTTTGAAAAAATCTTTCAAAAAGTGGTTTCAATAAAATTCGATCATTTACCTGTACAAAGTCCGTTTCAGAGCTTCAATAAAAAAACTCATTTTTTTGAAACATATTTAGTCATTGCGAGATTTATATCTAAACCAGAGTAAAATTTTCTTTAAAACACGTGAAGCCGAAAATTGGGAAAAATTAACTTTTTGATAAGCTTGCAACTAAAGGGATCACTTGGGGGAAATTTAGTGCGCCCTATAGGGAAGGAAAGGTTATCCCTAGAGGGGAGCCTTGAAAGGCCTCGAAGTTTGCCCCTCTAGGGACCACTCTGACGTTTTTATGTTCTGAAATTTGCTTTGAAAACATTTTTTTGAACTCTTTGATTTCCAGCTTAATTTTTGAGCTTCATCCTACATTTTGGGATTTAAAATCCTCAAAATCAGATTTCAAACTTCAAACTTTTTACTTCAAGATCAAACTGAAAAAGAGCGTTTGAAACAGGAAAATAAGTTATTTCTGCAGATTCGGGAAAAGATCGGGCGACGAGTCTTCACTCGGGGCTTTCGAGGGCGACGACCATGAGATGTACAAACGCAAATCCGCCTACATGAGGTCTTCCCTTTTCCGACTTTTTTGGTATTTACGTCAGAAGGGCTTCTGAAGGGAAGCCCTGTACTTTAGAAGTGGAAAATAAGGAAAGAAGCATCAAAAAGTGACATTTTACAGCTTAAAAGAAGAAAAAACTTGGCTTGAAGTCGAATTTTTCGCTTCTCTTTGTAAGACTTTCTGAAAATTAACCTTCACACACTTTTTTCCCATTTTTTTTTTCTCTTAAAAACCCTAGAGTGGTTCCTAGAGAGTAGCCCTTGTAGGTTTCCCTCAAGGGACCACTTCACCTCCTCCTATAGAAGGCACTAAAGCTTGCAAAAGGGGCCACTCTAGGGGTATCCAGCCTTTTTTAACTTGGAAGTCAGAAGAAAAAAACGAAACGCCACTTTAGGGACCACTTGAGTTTTTGGGATTAAGGTTTTCAGACCCTAAACCCCTATAGTGACCACTTAAACTGTATCCCTCTAGGGAACACTCTTTCGCCCACTATAACGGCTCTTTTCCCGTCTGAACCCTCTAGGGACCACTCTGTCGATCCTAAGTTGGAACCTGGAAATAAAAAACCGGTAGATTAAGGACCTTTCCGAGAATTTTTTAAAAATTGATAACTGTAGTTGAATTTTCATAAATTCAGAGTGAAACAGGAAAGTGAGGCAACTTTTTAAAATGCGAAAAATAATGAAAAAGTGTCTTTTTTGGAATGAAAGATGGCTATTTTCCTCCAGTTTCGAGATAAAAATTGCTTTCAAAGAGGCCTTTTTATTAGTTAGATTGAAAAAAATGATACATTTTTTTCCAGATTCGGAAAAGCGATCAATGCTGGAAACCCCGGAAGACGACCACGAGATGCTCAAGCGCAAATCCGCCTACATGAGGTTTCCGTTTCACAGTTGTTTTTTAAAGTAGACTCTCGCTGACTTGAGAATCCTTTCCAAGCGAGCACTGTAAATATAAAAAACAACTTTTTCTATTTTAAAATTCATCACATTTCTTAAAAATATATCGAATTTTGCTGAATTTTTTTGCTCATTCAATGACTTCATCGACTTTGCCGTAGAATTTTTTTCAAGTCACTACCCAGAAAAAGAAGGAAAAAAATATGGAATCTTTGAAAAATTCAAAGAAAAAAAGGTTTAAAGAATACTTGGAATATGAGAGAAACTTGAGGATTTTACGGTAAAAATGAATTTCATCTCCAAGATGAAGTTACAGTTTCAGAAAATATTAAAATGAACATTATTCAGTCATAATATAATTCGTATTGTTCGAGACGCAATATTTTAATAAATGAATCTTCAATCAGCCAGGCTTTGGCGGCACTTGGAATGGCTCGGCTTTTAACGAGTTTTTTTTTGAGACCCGACCCGAAACGGCTTGCGTGTTTTGGCATAGGAGATCATAAGAGAAATTGATCAAAGTCGTTTTTTTCAAATTCGACCGCGCCGCTTTGAGCCATTCCAAATGCGACCACGCGGTTCCAAGACCCAACTGAATGACCGAAAGTTATTGCTCGTGTGTCTGCGATATCGTCGAAGCCTCTGCGATATCGCTCTTTCTCATAAATTTGAGAATTTTGAACATTTTTTGGCTTCTTCTTTTGGCTCTTATGTTTAAATAAAACATATTGAAGAAAAATAAAATTTTTTGAGAGAATATTTTAAAGAGCGATATCGCGCGAGACTTTTGCGATGTCGCGCGAGACTTTCGCGATGTCGCGCGCGATAACGCCCACTGTTTTATAGACCGTGATTTTAGATGAAATCGTAGGGTGTATTAAAAAAGAATGGAGAAAACTTTGGGACCAAATCGAAACAACCTGTATTTTTCAGATTCGGCAAGTAACTTGTCGTCGGCCAGCACGAAATTCTATATATCAAATTGAATTGTTCCCCAATTATTTTTTGAGGTGATATTCTACAAGTATAGCCTGATTTTCCTCCCTTTTTTGTTAGTTCATCCGACATGATTTGGTGTTAAAAACTTGTCTAGACCAACCCCGAAACAGTCGAAAAATGATGTTATTTGATCTCTTGCCCCATGTGTCGACGGAATAAATTATTTTAAACTGTTTTCTGATTCGATTTGGCCTTTGAAGATGGAATTTTGGATCGAAAATTGTAAAAAAAAAAACAGAAATGCGGCCCAAGCTGTTTGAGCCATTCCCTCTCACACCAACCGGGTTACGGTAGGCACCTCCACATCTAAGAAAATATGATTTTTCCTAGGCATGATGTATATCAATCGAAAGGTAATGCAATTTTAGAAACTTTCAGTGCATACCATCTTGGGTTACTGTAGAAAATCTTGAGATACGGTAGTTTTTGTGTTTGAGCAATTGATTTTTGGGTCGCCCTGAGCTCTTGATTTTTTAAATTTATGAATAAATTTAAACAGTTTCTAAGTCGATTCGATCTTGATGATTTTTTTCAAATCGTTTGTAGAGTTTTTTTCTCTTCAAATTAGGAAAAAAACACTTTTTGTTTTTTTAATTTTATGTTGAAATTTCTTCCGAGGTTTTTTTCGATAAATAATGAGTAAATTATAGCAAATTTCCTCAACTTTACCAAAAAAATTGTTTTTCAACAATAAAACTTTAATTTTGAATCTGAATTTTCCGAAAAATCATCTCTTATTCTAATTTAACTGTAAAATAATCAATTTTCGAGCTCAGTTTTGTCTTTTTTTATTAAAAAATTCCAGAAAAATCTCATTTTTCCGAAATTTTTCAAAGCAATTTTGCTATCTTTTCTTCTTTTTATTCAAAAAAGGTCTTTTTTCAATTTGCAGAAAGTTCAATCCAATTAGTTGGCTGCATTGTGAGGCACGTGGCGACGCAAAAGTGCAGCCAAGAAAAAAACCGAAGAATTTCGCATAAAATCTGTACTTTCCAGGCCTTTTTTATGGTCTAGTTAACACGAATCGGACCCGTCGTTCCGTTTTTTGATGTTTTCAAGAAATGTTCGTCGATTTGAAACTTCAGAAATCAAGAAGAAGATTTGGCTGAGTATTCATTTTATATTGCAGGGTTGAAGGCAATATTAGAATTTTATACAATTGAAAAAAAAATAGATTTTCCCGGTCCAGTGCATCATTTTACTGTTTCTTCAGGAACTTAAAGATGATTTTCAGATTTAAAATTTACTCGAGCTTGGTTTTGCATTTGATGCCTTTCTAAAAATCACTCTACTCGAAACTTTTTTATGATGAAGTCTTTAAAATCCCAATTTGCAGCTCCATCGGTACCATTGTCTGATTTTTTTGATTTTTCTGGAAACATGGATTTTTTTTTTCGAATTCAACAAGCTACTGAAGGTTTGTCAGTCCTCAAAAGTGTGAAGTCCATGGGCTTAGGCTGCCCCTATAGGGATCACTCTAGAGTTCCTAAAAGTTCCGAAAACGATTGACACACGTTCTCTAAGAAAATCGTAGATATTAAAATTCGGAATGAGTTTTTTGAGCTCGACTTGTGGTCACAATAACCACATAAAGTCCTTAAAATTTTGCTTAGGGTTTTGATTGGCTCCGCCTCTCTTTGGGGCTACGGTAGGGAAAACACCGTAAAAATGTAATTTATTTGTCCGTGGTGAAAATCGAATGAAACCTTTTTTGATGAAAGCCAGTGACAAATTGAACACTTTTTAGGTAAAAGCTTTTTCCGATTACTTTTTTTCATAACGAAAAAAATTGATTTTTATTGGGAATCGAGCTTTTTCGGATTTTAAGGTATTTCGACAGGAAAAACCCACTTGACAAAGAAATTTCATTTGCTCAATCAATTCGTTGGATCTTTTTGAGCCAGAAAAAGTTGTTTCGAATCAGAAAAATGGAAATTTCAAAAGTTGCTGGTGGTACTTCACAATTCATATTGTTATCTTTAGGTTTCTCCTCGAAAAAAAAATACTTTTTGCTCATTTTTCCGAACCTTCGTATTTCATGACGTTTGTCCCAGGTCCTTTTTTAGATTTTCTTTCGAAAGATCCTTCCGTTCCTCATTAACCCATCTGATTCATGGAATTTGTACTTTCGATGGCCCTTTCGGCGGATTTCCGCTGATTGGAACTGGTCCAAGTCTCGCTGATAGAGCGTGAGATCAAATAAACGTGAATCATCAAAAAATTTTGAAGTTTAAAGTTATTTTTCTCAAAATTGGAAATGATTAGAATTTATTAAATTTTTAAATAGCCATCAACATGAAAAAATTATTTAACTAGGAGTAAAATAAACAGAAGCGTTTGAAGTACATTTCCAAACGAATTTTCAAACATCCAGAAGTAAAAAAACTCTTCAAATCAGCAAAAAAGCTTACGGCAAGCCGTCTCCGATCCAAGTACTACCGGCTCTCAACGTTGCTTAACTTGCCAGATCGGACGGGATGGCGTGTTTTCAACGTGATGTGGTCGTAAGCGACAGTTCGAATTTCTCTTGGCTCCATATTCTCGGTTTAGGCGCCGTCTAGCCTTGAAGAATCGAACTCTTAGTATGGAAATAATGTAAATATGCTTGTAGACTTTTCCATGTAGAAGTTATGTAGAGAAATAAATGATTTTTCCGATTTTTCTCACCATTTTCTCAAGGATCCTTGTTTTCTAACTTGTTTTCGCTTAACCTGCTAACTCTTCTATAGGAAACAGGTTTCGTAGGCGTTCGCATGATTTCCCTTCGCTGGATTGAAATTCGCGCGCAGGTGGGTGGTCTTGGTCAGAAATTCCAGAAATTTTGAACAGAATTCAAAAAATGTTTATTATTAAAATAGGAGATTGTTGCTTTGCAAAGATGCATTGTCATCTCAAAAATGAATAAACAGAGCAAAAATTCAGAAGAAGCGCGGTAATGCAGTATTTTCAACCGATAATATTGAGGTGAAACGAGCCACAGCACTCGCTTACGACCACATCACGTTGAAAACACGCCATCCCGTCCGATCTGGCAAGTTAAGCAACGTTGAGAGCCGGTAGTACTTGGATCGGAGACGGCTTGGGAATACGGCTTGCCGTAAGCTTTTTTGCTGCTTTCTAGAGTTCTTCAATTTATTTTTTTGTCTTTGTTTTTTTACTCATCTTTTTTTATGAAAAATAATCAAAAAAATAAGCTACCCTCAAATTATTCACATCAAAAAGGATATCAGAATAAAAAAATTTTTTTTATGTTTCAATTATATTTGATCTCAAACTCAAACTTTTTTTCCAGATATTCGTAACATTTTCCATTGCTCCAAAAACGCAGAAGAAAAACAGCTCATCCTTGGGAATTTTTTTGAACTCCCGAATATCCTGAACGCTGCTTGGACATTTCTTCAACGGCATTTGCGACCAAAGAAACAGTCTAAAGATCAGTTAGCAGAAAAAATAAATCGTACGAAGACTAGAGTCGATTTTAAAGAAAAAGCCAGATCTGGAACGTCTTCTGGAGTGGGAGAATCAGCATAACTATTCGAAAAAAAATGACTGCAAGCTTTCTTCAAAAAAAAAAAAACTTGATAGACCGCGAGATTTTGCTCACCGCTTTACATTTACTCGAAAAGAATTTTTCTTCAAAATCAGAAGAAAACTGGGACTTTTCAACTGGGGATATTGTGCCAAAACGATCCACAGCACTCGCTTACGACCACATCACGTTGAAAACACGCCATCCCGTCCGATCTGGCAAGTTAAGCAACGTTGAGAGCCGGTAGTACTTGGATCGGAGACGGCTTGGGAATTCGGCTTGCCGTAAGCTTTTTTTGCTGTTTCAATCCCTTTTGGACATTAAAAAAGCCGTTCAGAAAGAAAAAAAGGTCCTCCCGTCATAGGGATCACTCCAGTGATCAAGTTTTCTTCTTTCAAAAATCCAGCCACAACAGGTTGACCGCAACGATCGGCGTGTTGGACGCAAAAGTGCAGAAAGTTGGTCAAAAAGTGGGCGGAGCTGAACTTTTCTAGACGGCCAAATGAATGAAAGAAATGATTTTTTTTGCAGAAGAAGAAGAAGGAGGAGGAGGAGGAACACCCACCCGATGACCACTACAAAAGGCCTCCGGCACGTGACGTCGTCTTAAGCCTCTCGATCCGACTTTTTTCTTCTGGTCAGCAGCTAATTTTTCGTCTTTTTCCTGATCTTTGAGTCGGCCTAAATGCGTCTAGCCGCTGTGTTATTGGTGTTTTTACCTGTAAGTTTTTTTTTTGAGATTTTTTTGCTCTAGATGAAGCTTGATTCTGTAGAGGTGAAGCTGATCACTAAAAATCGATGGTAAAAAAGTTTTTGGTTGATTTTTCGGGTGTTTTTCGCTTTTGCTGTTCTTTCTTTAACCACCAAAATGCTTCTAACCGCCATCTTATTGCTGTTTTTTTTCTGTGTCTTTTTTTTGAACATCACTTAAACTTGATCCTGTAGATGAGAAGCTTAGAACTGATAATCGCTGATAAAAAATAATTTTTTGAATATTTTGAGCTTTCTCATTTTTGAAATCTGCTGGAAAGGTTTCAAATTTTATGTGGTTCCCCTAAAAAATTCATTTTCAACTTTCCGTTTAGATAATCAGTCTTTATACAGTTTCAAGCTTAAATTTTTTTAAAAACTTTTTGGTTCGAGCCCTTCAACTTTGAATCAAAAAAATAAAATAAAAATAAAAAAACAAAAAAAGATAAAGTTCAAGATGAAAAACTTCTTATAAGCGAAATTCTGAAATTCCAATTTCTTTTTTTGAGTCACTTGGACCTCGGTGTCTCAAACTGGGCCTTTTTACTGATACCTTAAGCGGTTTGAGTACCCTTAAGTGATCACTTGAAGTTTTCGGAAGTTACCGAAGTTGACAGTTGACCAAATTTATCCATCGAGCACACTTTCCCATTTCAGATAGTGACGTCATCGGACGAAGATGAGCCCCAAAGTCGAGTGAAACGCCTCGCCGTTCATCCGTTCTATTGGGAAACCAGGTCATTTTTAAAATTTTTTTTTTGATAGCCCAATGTGAAATGGCTAATTTTTGAAGAATTTTGAGGATTTTCTGGGATACTTTCGAAAAAAAAAACAGGCATTTTAGTAGATTAAGAGCATCATTTGATAAGTCAAGAAGTAGGATGTGTGCAGAAGCGCAAGTAGTTTCTGGTCGGGTGCATTGAAAAAAGGCTCCATTATTGATTAGAACTGTGAAAGTAGAAATGAGAGCATTTTCTCAGAAAAAAGTTTTCCTATACAATTTTGAGCTAAAACTTCATTGAATCAACTATCTCAATATCCAGATTTTCTGGAAAAAAAAAACTCCGCATTGGTCATCTATTCTCAGAGATCAACAAAGCCTCATTCAGAGGTCACTTAACGGCTTGATTCAATAATAAAGCCGAAGGAGGAGAAAACTTGAAATTGAAAAGACATCGAGGTTGAGAGAATGAATAAGCGCCAAGGCAAAAAACGGGAATTTGAAGAGGATGACCCTCGAGCCAATTTGGGAAAGCGGGTGGACCCGTTCTTCCAAGGAATCCTTGTAATCGTGATATTCATTGTGTTAGCCGCCTTGTTTCGAGAAGATCTCTATAGTTATGAAGGAAAAAAGAGTACTATCATGAGCAATAATGAGCAATAAGTACGATTATCTTAGATCCCCACAGCGAAAGAGTACATTCCTCTTGAGCCCCCTTAGCAATTTGGAAGCCTCTTTTCCAGGAAAGAGGAAGGCTATCTTGGTTAGGGATCAGTAGAACTTGAAAAAATTAAAGATCTTTATAAGCTTGAAAGAAAAGAAATTGACTAATATGAGCAATAATGAGCAATATTGAGCAATGAAAAGCAAAAAAATGAAAGTCTTATCGTAGACACAAAAAAGCCCTGAATGAGCTTTTGCTTGCGAAGTTCTTGAAGGCAAAAGTCAAAAAAAAAATCTGGAAATTCGCTAACCTGAGCAAGACTGAGAAATAATTGAATCAAAGAGTCTCCCAAGTCGAATAAAACTGTAAACAATGAGCTGAGTGTCCGGGAAAACGTTGGAAAGCTTGAAAATATATGAAATAAAAAAGTCCCAGAAAAACAAGAGTTTTATAACCTAAGCAAGACTGAGCAATACATTTTAACCAAACAGCCTCCGAAGTCTGAAAGAATAGAAAATAATAAAATGAAAATAACTTTTGTTCACTTTTTTTCAAAAAAAAACCTATTCAAGACTTTTTCCAAGACCTCACTCTTACGCGAAAGCCACGCTCCATTTTTTGGTCTTCCAGGACTCAAATCGGTATTTTTAAGGTTATGGCCAAACGGAGAAGTTCCCTATCACATCGCCTCGCACTACACGCAAACCGAACGCAACGTCATCCTCTCGGCGATGAAGGCGTTCCACAAGGAGACGTGCATCAAGTTCCGACAGAGGACCAAGGCCGACAAGTACTACCTCAGCGTCAACAAGTACTACGAGCTCGAGAAGTCGGTTTTTGGAATATTCGAAAGCTTTTTCCTCAAAACATAGAAACGCCAGAGTGGTCCTTGGAGAGGCACCTTTAGATTCTTTTAAAGGCTCCCCTATAGGGGTCACTTAAGCTTGCAAAAGTGGCTAGAACATCAACTTTTTAATAACTCAGGGTCTTTAGAGTGGTCACTTTAGGGGCAGCCATAGGGGTCCTTGAAGGCTTCCCTCTATTAAGTGGTCCCTATAGGGGCATCCTAGCCGGTTATTGTTCAAACTCGATATTGTATCTTTTTCTGAACTAAAGATGAGATTCTGAGCCCTTATAGGACCACTGGAGTTGTACCCCTCTAGGGAGCACTATTTCGTCCCCTATAGGCTGTTTTTCTCCCAACCCCTTTAGGGGCCTCTTGGGCTTTACGGCTGAGTGGCGCCCTTAAGTTGAAGGGGGCTAAAGATCAGGTTCTGAGCCGTTATATTACCAACGGAGTTTTACCCCTCTAGGGAGCACTAATTTGTCCATTTCTAGGTATTTTTTTCCCTAACCCCTATAGGGACCTCTTCAACTTGAGGGCTAATGACTGAGACTCTTAACCCCTATAGGGATCACTTAAGGAGGGTAAAGATTCGACTCTAAACCCTTATAGGACCACCGGAGTTTTAACACTGTAGCGAGCACTATTTCGTCCCCTATAGGCTGTTTTTCCTTCTCACCCCTATAGGGACCCCTTAAGCTTTAGGGCTAATGACTGAGACCCGTAACCCCTATAGGGAACACTTAAGTTTGAGGCTGCTAGAAATCAGACTCTGAGCCTTAATTGGAACAGCGGAGTTTCACCCCTCTAGTGAGCACTAACTTGTTCATTTCCGGGCCTTTTTTCCCCTGACCCCTTTAGGGACCCCTTGAGTTTAAGGGTTTAGCTGTCAGACTCTTAATCCCTATAGGGAGCACTTATTTCTTTATATCTAGGTCTTTTTTCCCCTTGACTCCTGGAGGGATCACTCTAGAGCTCATAGCAACGTTTGACATGAAGTTTTTCATAGTAAGATTCATATTTTCCAGGTGTTTCTCGTATATTGGCCGCCAGACAGGTAATCTGTTCAAAACGGCCGAAGGAGCCGTGGAAACGAGGATGAAGCTCGCGCCACAGTGCCTGATGTACAATGGGAGAGGGACTGTCATGCATGAATTGATGCATATTCTCGGGTTCTACCACGAACATCAGCGGTTCGTCGATCATCCGCAAAAAAAAAAGTCTGACCTCTCTGCGCCCTCTTTTCCATCGCCGACAGATTTTGAAGGACTGACAGATCAGTGGGAACCCTTAAGGGTTCACTTAGATCTGAAATTTAACTTTCAAGAAATGCAACTCTTTCAAAACTCTCGAGTTTTGTTTCATTCTTCAAGTTATTCATCCACCGACTTTTGAAAAACCTCTGACCTGTCTGCGCTCTCTTTTCCATCTTTCCCGAAGCCATAACAAAATGGAAATAGCATATGAATTTAAGAGAGCAACCCAAAATAAGAGAATCAGAAGAAAATTAAAAGACTAAAATAGCAGAGCCGTTAATTTTGGGAACAACACTTTTAAAATATGTAAGCATTTTTAAAATTCGACTTTGAAACAGAAACATGTTCTAGTTTTTTCTTTTTTTTTTCGTGACTTCTGCGGTGAAAACACGTGGGAATCGGATCTTTCCCGAAGATTGAAAGTTTTTTTTTAAAATACAAAGATTTTTAAATCCATTGTTTCATTGAGGATTTTTACTACGAAGATTGTATTTTTCGTTAAAAAAATTTTTTTTCCTCTTTTTTGGATTCTCTGTTTCAAGGGACACATATAATTATATAAACCTTCTTGACTGGATTATTCCTTCTTTGTTTTCAATAACATTTTATAATTTTCAAGAAAAATAATAAAAAATATGTTTGTTTTTGCAGGGACGATCGTGACAAGCGTATCGGCGGCAACAGCAAACACTACAATTTCAATATTCGTTCCAGAAAGTTGGTTCCTTTTTTTTACTTAGAGACGTCCGAGTTGTCCCTAAAAGGGCGAATTTCGAAGCTCTGAAGGTATCCCTCAAGGGACCATCTAAGCTCTATAGTTTGCAGAAGTGGCCACTATAGGGGAGTATGGTATATGTCATTAAACGTATTATTAACCCTCAAACGGCAAAAATAAATATGAGAGATCCCTAAACGGACCACTTGAGCATTAGGGGCTTCCTAACCCCTCTAGGGAACGCTCTAGTGTTTCTAAGCTTATGTATAAAAATTATTCGGCTTCTTACGAAATTTTATTTTTCAAGCCATTTTTCTTGGAGGACCTAGAAAAAATGTTTTTTTTTTCTGGGGTCTCTCCAACTGGTGTTCTTTCTCTTCTAGCCCCTCTAACATGAGCAATACGTTCAGAATCACCTACTACATGGGATCATACGATCCGGAATCCATCATGCACTACAATTTTCCGGGCGTTCCAAGCCGAAAAAGAGATTATTTCTCTCCGACTGATATCTTCCGGATCAACGCTCTCTACAAGTGCCATTTGGTAAGTTTTTAGTTTTTCCAAGTTGGCGCAGTGGCTAAAAGAGTGGTTTCTTGCTGGGAAGGTCAGAGGATCGGATCCCCGACCGGTTTTGGCTCTTTTGTCAGACTCATATTTTTTTTAATTCAGAAAAGTTTAGTCAAAAGACGATTTTTACGAGTTGGAGACTTTAAGATTCAAAAATTACTCGTGAAACTTCAAAAAAAATTATTTTTCGACTTGAAAATCGCCTGAAACAGGATAATGAAGTTATTCCTAATTTTGGCGCAGTGGCTAAAAAGGCTAGTTGCTTGCTAGAGGGGTCTCGGGTTCGAATCCTCAAGACGTTTATCTCTTTTTTTGCTGATTTTTTTCAAGTTCCTTCAATTATATTTAAAAATCGACATCCTGTTAAAAACTAGAATACATTTTTTTACATGAAACTTTTTCCAAAGTTTTTATAGTGCTAATTGAACCTAAAAGTGGCCTCTTTCAAATTCTACTAAATTTTTTTTTTCAATATATGTTTTTTTTGGTGTGAAACCTACACAAATAACGTTTTTTTCGAATGGAAACATTTCTGCAAAAAAACCAGAAAAAAAGTGCAAAATGACCCAGGGGTGCGCAAAAGTGCACGCAGTTCACCGCAATCAAGTAGCCTAATGTGACCTTTTTTTGGAAGTTTTATGGTCTAATGTTGCTTGATTAGGAAAGTTGATGATAATGAGGGTTTTTGAAACAGAATTTGAAGGCAATGGGATTCAACATTGTTGGAAAAAACTTTTTTCGGTTTTTTTTAACGAAAACAAATATAAAAAAAAGTTTTTTCTTTTTCAAGTTTTTTCTCAAGTTCTTGAGAAATAATTCAAAAGCTCTGTGACCTGAAAAAGTGAAAAAATAGATCTTTGAATATTTAGATTGAAAAACTGCTTTTTCAAACTGCACACAAATCCTCAATTTTCATTCTGCATTCGAAATAAATGGCTTTAAAAAATCCAAAAGCCTCTTTTTTTCTACACAAAAAAACGTCCAAATTTTGAAGTTTATTGATTAAAAAAACCAAAAATCAAAAAAAATTTTTTCACTACGTACGATAATAATTTGGAAAGTTAGGCCGTGGTTCGATTTGTAAAATTCGACCTTCTCAAAAAAATTAGAAAAATTTTTTGAACATTTTTCATTGTTCTTAAGCTTTGAACGATGAAAAATATAGTCTAACTTTTTGAGAAGGTCGAATTTTACAAACTCGAACCATGGCCTAACTTTCCAAATGTTTATCGTAAGTAGTAATAAAATGTTTTTTTGGTTTTTTTGTTTTTTTCTTAACCCCTAAAGCATAAGTGGACCCTATAGGGGTCTCTCAATTTCATTAAAAAAACGTTTATTTATTCAGTTTTATGGAAATGCTTCTTAATGACTAGCATGTCCCCTATAGGGGCCACTCGCCAAAAACCCCTATAGGGACCACTCTGGATTCCCTGATTTTTCTTCAATGAAGTTCATTACAGAAGGGCCGAAAACTGTCCTACCCATCCCAGATGAAATCGACCGAGGAACTGACTTCGGAAGAACAAAAAGCCTTGGATTTGAACGAGTTGCGCCGTCGGAGACGCATCCGGAAGCTTTAAAATAATGAATTTTTATATTTTTACAATTTTTTTAACCCTACAGAGGTGAAACGACAATTTTTTTTCTATTTTCGAAGGGTACTGTATGCAAAAGTCCGCAATCGGTTAGTCCGTGTTTGCACCCTTTATCTGGTAACGTCTCCGATTTAATTAAATTATTTTTTTCAGTTTTAAATTCAAAAAAAAATATAGTACAAAATCGCGAAAAAAAAAACGGAAACGGTACCACGAAAAATGTGCAAACACGCTCATCACGATTGCGGACTTTTGCATACCGTACTCCTCAACAAAGGAAAAATCGCCCCATATGCCCCAAAATGCTGGTTCTTTTGGTATACGGAACTTGTTAACTGTATAATTATAACCAAATCTTTCCTCCCTGGCTTTATTTATTCCCTTAATCCATTGACCTCACTTTTCCTTATTTATAGGTAAATAATTACCAATCTTCTTTCTTCCAAATGCAATATTTTCACGATCTCTACTCGTCTATTAATAATTCAATGTGCAATAAATTTCTTAAATTTAACAAAAAAATTGTCTGAAATTCAAAAGAGAGACTGTATTTTCTCAAATCTCATAAATTTATGAAAAAAAGATATTTTTTTCGGGAATCGTAGGTGAAACGTTGATGGAATCATTTTTTTATTTTTTTAATTGTAGAATAAAACTGCAAAAGCGATTTACAGCCGTCAATTTTTTGACTAAAGTTTGAAGTGATAAGGGATACTTTTTAATTAAAAAAACCTTTTTAAGAAATTATTTGATTTTATCCTTGGAGCGCAACTGACGGAGAACTTGCGCCCAGCCATTTTGAGCCTGGTTTTCACAGTTTCAATGAGAAAATAATGAAAAATTATAGTGAAGCCCTTGAAAATTGACATGATTCGACTATCTTTTTTTTTAATGTAAAAAAGCTGTCTTGAACTCAAAAAAATATTTTTTTCCTAATTTCTTCATAAAATTAAGAGGCTCACAAATTTGAAATTTTTTTCCGAATTGTTCGATGAACAAATGATGGAAACATGAAAAAGAAATTTTCCAATTTTTACCCGTAGAGCGAAACTGCAAAGTGATTTTAAGTCGCTCATTTTTTTTATTTTATTATTTTTTTGAATTCGATTTTTGAAGTGAACAAGGGATACTTTGAGAAAAAAATAAAGCGTTTTTTTGGGAAATTATTCGATTTTTATCCTTGGAGCGCAATTGACGCAGAATTTGCAGCCAGCCATTTTTGAGTCTGGGTTCAATGTTTTCAATACAAAAAAACTATAGTAAAAAAATCATAAAAAAATATTAAAAAAATTGATCTTATTAAACTAATTTTTTTCAATTTTTTTGGCCGTGGAGCACAGTTGTTCAGAATTTTCAGCCGGCCAATTTTTCTTCGAGCTTTTTTTGAAATGAAATTATTCTCTACAACGATTTTTTTCCTTTGTTTAAAAAAAGCTGAAAAATCAAAAGAAAAAAAGAGTTTCCAGTCCTTTTTGACAAACTTTTGTTCTACGGAAAACTTTGGAACTTCCTGAAAATTGGCCAGATCATGTCTGGATGTTCCATAAAAAAAAACCTTGTAATTTTCAAACTTCCAAACTTCCTGATTTTTTTAGAAAGGGCACCTCAAAGTCAAAAAAAACTCCAAAAAAACTCTAAAAAAATAGGCCATAAAAAAATTAAAAAAATTGATCTGATTAGACTAATTTTTTTCAATTTTTTTGGCCGTGGAGCACAGTTGCTCAGAAGCTTCAGCCGGCTAATTTTCTTCGAGCTTTTTTTGAAATGAAATTATTCTATACAACGATTTTTCCTTTGTTTAAAAAGCTGAAAATCAAAGAAAAAAGAGTTTCCAGTCCTTTCTGTCAAGCGGTTGCTCTACCAAAAAATTGAGGGCTTCAGAAAATTGGCCAGATTCTTTCTGGATGTACCAGAATAAATTGTTAAAAGTCCCAGCTTTCAAAACTTTTTATTTTTTGAAAAATTTCGCCTCAAAGTCGAAGAAAACCTTCAAAAACGATTAAAATTGGTCATTTTAAAACTTTGAGCTTTCATTTCTTGAAAAATAGGGATTTTTGAAAGTTAAGACTTGCAGAATCTTCATCTGGTACATTAAAAAGTATCCTGGCCAATTTTCAAAAAATTCCGAAGCGAAAACTAAAATCACCTCATTGTGGGGATTTTTTCTTTTCTTCCAATAAAGGAAGAGAAATTGGATTGAAACGATTATACACGACGGTGAGCCGTGAGACGGAAGCCCTCGTTGGAAACCGGATTATCTCCAAACGACGTTGTCGGCTCCTCCCGCCAATCCTTCCCTTCTTCCGTCTTGTGTCCAGGATTACAAGCCTTTTTGTGTTTCCTAATGGGTTTTGAGAGCTTCTTTGTTGATTTTAGCATGAAAATATCTTCAAAAACCCTTACTTTGAGTCATTTTGTGATTTTAAAGCTTTAAAAATCTCCTTTTTTGAAAAAATCCCTTGAAAATTGTCCACGAAAACCTCGAATTTTCATTTTTCAATCTTTTTTGTGTTTTTGCAGCAATCCTAATGGGTTAAAAATTGAGTTAAAAGACGGTTTTTGTTGATTTTTGTATTCAAGTGTTACTAAAAACCGTTATTTTGCGTCGTTTTGTGATCTTTAAGCTTCAAGTCTTTTTTACAAATTAAACTTCAAAAAATCATCGATTCTTCAACCTTCCCTTTTCCCTTCAATTTCAAGGTCTACAAGCTTTTTTTGTGACCTTCTTGAAAGAAAAAAAGGTATGAAAGTCCTTTTTCGGTTGAAAGTTGTATGAGAAAAAATTCGAATATTATACCGGACTTTGCTGTTTCACAAGCTTCATAAGTCGTTCCTTTAAAATCAGATTTGCTAGAATCTATGTAAGAATTTCTTCACAGAATTTGGAGTTTCCAGATTATTCTAAAAAAATATCTATTTTTTTCGATTCCGGAGCCAAATTATAAATTCGAGAAATATTAAATTCAAGCAGGTGAGGGCTTTAAATATTTTTTTCGTCTGCCAAAAAGTTGGGTAATTTTTCAATTTTTTTGCTCTAAAAAAACTTGCAGATCAAATTTTAAATAAAAAAATATAATTTCTCAGTTTTCTTTAATCCATTCTCATTTTTTTGAAAAATTTCTGAGGACTTTGTATTTTTTTCCAGATTTGATAGTCACCTGTTCGTTGACTTTATAACTTTTTTTGAAAAAAATTTTTTTGTTTTTTTTCCCATTTTTCAAAAAAGCTCTGGATTTCTTTTTCAAGCTTCATTGTCTTCCAAAAATTTGAACCCTCTTTTTGTTGAATTTTTTTGATTCCGGTTCCGAAAAACATGTCCAAAACCCTTGTTAGGTTGTTTAAAAAGAAAAAAAAAGTTTTCTGCTGAATTTTTAAAAAAATCAGCGGAAATTATTTGTGAGCGGAGGAAATTGGAGATTTTTGAGCCTCTTTTTATAATATTATTGCTTTTTTTCCCATTTTATTTTTTTACAAATTTTCAAAAAAACTCATAGAAATATCGCTTGTAAATTTTTTAAAGGAGCAGGGAAAGTTTTCCAAAAAGGTCTCGAGGCGAAGAGCCATTTTCAAAGGAGCAATGGACTTTTTTCCCATTTTTAGCGATTTTTCCGTTTTGTCCTTATAAAACGTTTCACAATTGAATAAAAAAACCATCTTCTAGAAAAAAAATTGAGAAAAGTCGCATTTTTTCAAAAAAAGGTCCTTTTTCAGCGATTTTTTTCGTTTAAACATTTTTTTTCGACTTTTTCAGGATTATTGGCCGTTTTTTTTTAAGTTGAAGAGGTACTTTGAGACGCTAGAGTGGTCCCTAAAGTGATAGCCCTATAGGGTTATTTTAGGGTCCCCTCAAGGGGCCTCCTTACCTCCCCTATAGGGGGTACTTAAGCTTGCAGAAGTGGCCTTTTACTTTCAAAACCGAAAAAAAAAAATCAAAATACCCCTAAAGGGACCACTTGAGCTTTAGGGGGGAGTTTTGGCCCTCTAGGAAGCCCTATTTGGTCCCCTGTTAGGATCATATTATTCCCTAACCCCTTTAGGGACCACTCTGACTTTCCAAAGGTTCCCGAACCCCTCTAGGGACCACTATGGCGTTTGAAGTTTTTCGCATCAATTTAAAATCATTTTTTTTTCATTTCCTTGTCATTTATATTCATTTAAAATAGAAAAAAAAAGAAAAAAATGAGATTTTTTGTGCATTTTTTCCATTTTTTGCATCAAATTTGAAGTTGACTTCATATTTTTCAAATAATCCGCCCTTTACGTGTCAATATGACACTTGCACAAGCCAAGTGTGAGAGAATTTTCCGACCCTTTTTTCGATTATTTTGCACTTCCCGTTGCTTATTTTTCGATAAATATATACTCCATTCTCTCGATTTTGTATGTTAATTTCTCTCTCAGCTTCTCTACGTATAATGAGCCGAAAGAAATCCGATTTTCCTAGAAAATTCATTCCCACTGCTCCCATTAACCTTTCGATTCCCATAGGTAAGCTGAATTTTGAGCAAAATTTTAAAAAAATGCGGTAAATTATTTTGCAAAAAGGTTATAAATTTATCGAATTTCATTATTTTTTGATTCCTGCAGTAGATTTCCATAAAAAAACCGATTTCAAAAAAATAATAGAAAAAAATTTTTTTAAAAAAATATTTTTCCAAAAAAAGCAGAAAAAGATCGGGTATTCACTGGTCCATTTTTGGCCCTTAAGAGGTCACTTAAACTTTATCACCTGGAGGGCCCGTAAAAATATCCCTAAAGGGACCCCTTAGACTACAAAACCCTATAGGGAGGGCTCCGAAAATTCTCAGCACATTATGATGTTATATATTTCTGAATATATTATTCTCTTGATTTTTTAAACTTTCTGTGAAAGTTTTTGACGTTTTAGTGACAACTTTAGTAGTCGAATTAGGGACCCCTTAAGTGGCTAAAAATCAGTGGCCTCTTTAGAAGCCTCAGTGAAACTACTAGACCATTTTAGTGGT